AATAAAATATTTGTAGTTTACGATGAGATGGAGCTAGTTACGAAGCTTCAGCCGGATGTTAATGATTTTATAAAAAGGTATCTGTACCGCGGACTATATTATTCAATTCGATGATTGAACATGAAGGGAATTAAAAAAAAAAAATTATTTTGGGACTTTGTTTCGGACTAGTTAAGACGTAAAAAAGATGTCCACATTGGTGAAAAAGTTCCTTCTTTTTTCTATGTTGTTTTAACAATATAAGTGAAACAGATACAAAACTAGCAGTTACATTATTATTTATTTCGTGTATATTTGGACGGAAGTGGTTATTAAGTTCATTTTTAGGGGGGGGGGGGAAGAAAATTTTACTAACCAAAAGAGAAATTCAAAATAAAATATATGGCAGAAACACTGGAGGTAAACATACTTAATATCTCCCTCTCTTAATATTTATTTTTCTTTATTGAGTTGCTTGTGCCGTAATAAAATTGTTTTTTTTTTTAAATGCGAATATATAAATCACAGTTTCAAAATCATAAAAAGATTTTTTTTTTTTGCAACTTCTTTGCTGGTTAAGATTCAAGTTAGTATTAATTAAGTTGAAGTTAATAACAGAATAAGTTGAGATTCATTTCTAATTGTGTTAAAAATTTATGTGATTTGGTACTCACAGAATAGTTAATGTGTCTTAAGCAAAAATGACTACAATGAATACGAGAATAACTTAACATTTTATGTATAGCTTTCTCCTCAGTAAAAATGTGACTAACTTAAAAAAAATAAGATAAAACTTTTATTTCCCGCTTTTTTTTTTCGGAAAGTAGCTTACATAATTTTTTTTTATGAATAGAATAACCTTTCATAATCATTCTCTTTACTTATGGAAATTCCCTAGAAGTTGACATCACCCACTGACTAGCTTAGGAGTGTGAGGATTCATTTCTAGGAGGGGAGAGGGAGGGAGGTCACCAATAAATACATATTAACTTACCATGGTGGTAATCGAACCCATATATATATATATATATTATATATATATATATTATATATATATATATATATATATATATATATATATACATGTATATGTTTTTTTTCTTGCAGGAGTTCTCGTATAACATTAACTATATAATAAATATTAAAAAAATACATTTTTCATGTGATAAAAATAGAGCAACCTCACTAACATTAACAATTTACAACGTCTCCTAAAAATTTATAACATTATTCTCTGTCCGTGTTACAACATATTTCTAGCAGATTAATTGCTACTAAGTTGGTTATCTCGTAACAGAACGGGTCCAGATAATATCACAGGTATAATATGTAACTGTTGCAACTAGCCAGTCCCTAACAAGTTCATTAGATGTTATCTCTTGTCACTGCTTGCTAGTTTGTAGTTAGTAGTTACTATATGGAACGGAGCGCCCTTAAAACTTTATAGTGAGCCCTGAAATTGTCTCAAAGTACTAAGGGTGGTCATTTGTTAACTCGGACGTGAAAAAGTAAAGCTTTAGTCTATGAATTATTTTACAAAAGCTTTTGTTGAATCGTCGTTAGCAACTTGTTATATATAATTTAGTTGACAGCTTCCTCTTTTGTAAAGTCAATTAATTAACTTTAATTAAATAACTAATTAATTATCAAATAAACTGTCACGAGTGACACAGCAAGAAATATATATTATTTTACATTTTCATCATTATATCTGTATACCTACTGTTTAACTTTTCTCAATCACTATATTTTCAACTGAATATTAAAGAATAATTATTTATTGTAAGTGACGGGTAAGGAGAAAAAAAAAAACAGTTTTCAGTTTGTTTGTTTTTCAACTGAATAATGGTATCAATTGTTTTGAAATGTAAAACTGAATTATTCCAGAAAAAAATAAAATAAATGTCTTATTATTGGATTATTATTCTCAATAATGAACCATTGTGATGGACCAAAAAATTCAAAAACTTAACCTCCTCTCAAAATTTGAGGTTTCACGTTTCAGGGTTGCAGAATAAACGAATAAAATATTTTTTGTTCGTCCGCCGTCTGTGAATTTTCTTCGAAACTATGCAATCTACTGCAAATGTTATTTCCTTTGTTTTGGTTTTTTAAATTTTGAATGTGTTATTGAAGTAATGCTATTTTTTTTTAGCACATTATTAGTGATTAAAAAAAAAAGTTCAGTCCAATCATTGAAATCACTTTTATTTATATTTCTTTGTAACTAGGAAGGTAATGTTGCATTAGATGTTTGGAAATAATAAACCATTGTGAAATAATTTGCAGCGGTTTTTACATGTGTTCCCCATGGCTTATGATTTTACTATTTTTTGGGAAATTCCTATTACTGGGATTTTTTTTAAGAAACGGAGAAGTTACAAATTATTTCTAATAATAACAAAAAATAGGTCTGAAGAATTTTCAGTAGCGTAGATACATATTTGAGTATGTTAAAACCGGCTATAACTTTTTTCTACGATTGAATCAGTCGTTCTCCTGCTTCGTGTGTTAGGACGAAAGAAAATATTACACCTATTTCATCAATAATAAACGATCATAGTCCCGTTTCTATGTAAGTGATATAAAGCAAAAAATAGATTTCATTCAATAAAAGGAATTTTAGATTTGGATTTCCGGCCACTTCATGCATGGCTATAAAAAGCAGTATTTGGACTTAAAACTTTGGGGCATTATTAAATCATCGAATTATTTTTGTATCCAAAATCCTCAATACTCTATACTTTGTCACAAATTACTTTGTCATTCATAACGACCTTGGTGTTCTATATGTTCCCGATATGTACCATTACAGATACCTATCCTTCTACAATTCACTTCAAAACCATCCGAATCCTCTGTTTTATAACATTTTCTTTTTGGTACCTGATAACCTTCTGACGCGAAGAATTTATTTTACTCACATTCCAACTCCCTGTAAGAATGTAGCTTATCGTTATAAATTCATTAAAATCAATAAAAAAAAAAGGGAAACTTCTTTTTTTTTTAAAGGTTATTTTATTGTTCAGTTATAGACGAAAATATTTCTTTTGTTCATTTTAAAACCTTTGTTTTTATATATACATTAAATAAACAAAGTAAGTTGTGTACTTTAGACCACACTAGATTAATCATATGAAATATAAATTACAAATCATAGCTCATTACAAAGAGGATGAAATGCTGAACATTTCCATCGCTAACAGTATGCAGGCTTCCGAAAAACTGGTAATCATTTGTTTTTTACCCTTTTTTTTCCCTTTTAGCCTCTCTAACACTGCTTCGCGTTAAGATACAATTTTGAATAATAGCCCATTGCAGAGAGGAAAAAAGCTGAAAAATTCCCTCGCTCCCAGTATGCAGGTCCGATTTTTATTTTATGAGATATCCATATCTTCAATAAAACTCGCAATTATTTGGTTTTTGACACTATTTTCTCCCATTTCGCCTCTCTAACACAACGTCGCGATAAGATACAATCTTGAATAATAGCTGTTTACAAAGAAGACGAAAAAAAAAACTTCAATTAATTGACTGCAATGGACTTTACCCAAGCGTTACACATCGGAGATCTGACGGCGTTTTACTTCAAAATAACATTTTTTTTTTATGGAACCGTAGTCCAGTAACCTCGTTGTGAAAAAGACTATGATCAAAGTTACATCAAGTGGTAGTGGAAGGATTCCTTTTACTTAAATTTTCATTTAGACGGGTCAGTTTTTCATTCAAATGAACTAAATATATATTTATTATCCGAATCAAAGATTATTTGAAAAACTTGGATTAAAATCTGTCTTAGATAATTAAAGGTAAACAAACTCAAACCGCGTTGACAATCCTATACTATACATTTAGAAGTGCTTTGGTGGCAGTCTTAACTAGAAACCAATATCAGCTTTTCGTTATTTAAATTAAATAATTATATAATAATATTTAATCATGTTTAATAAATATTCAGGAATCAGTCATTATAATTTTTTTTTATTTGTGCCAACGTTTCAACCCAAACATGTGGGTCATCATCATAGCTGAAAATTTGTACTCATCTTGAATATTTAGTCAGCAAATTATTTACATTCTATAAACAGAAATGTTACCTCCTTCCCCTCTTCTTACTATGTTTACTTACCTTTTGCTATCTGAAAAAGGACAACTGGGAAATCCTACCCCGACCCTTTTACTTACCTACCAAATGTGTCAGTACTTGAAAGCCTTCAGTGCTCGAACCATGTTTATTAAGGGGAAATATTACAAATTTTTATAAATGGATTATATACATTATTTTTAGTTTGTATATCTTTTTACATATTTCATTGTGTATTGTAATCATAGTTAAGATTCGTGTACCATCAATCACAATAGTTTATTATTTATCTTTATTGATCGTATAATATTATATCACTGATTGTATTTTAAAATTTTCAACCCTGATGATGACCCACATGTTTGGGTTGAAACGTCGGCACAAATAAAACGTTTTTACAGTGACTGCGTCGTTTAATAATAATATATAATAATTCTTGATTAATGAAATATTAATAATATTCATAAAGATATAAATTGTTCCACTATTTTTAATTCTTGTTTATAATGAAGTATTAAATATTTTAAAATAAAACTTGAAAAAGAAATAGAAAATTATCTTAGCGCAGTAAAACTAAAAAAAAAAGTATTTATGCCGTTTACTGTGGATATTACCTATACAACGCCTTTTATTACTTAACAAATGCAGTAATAAATACTAGCCTGAAATTAGTAACCTATAAAATCCGGAGTCATAAAAACATCATAAGAGGTCATAAGACGCCGTCACCCATCTGCTCCAAAAGCTATTATATTTTTTATCGATACTATAAATCCTGCGTTTCATATAAAGGGCTTATCCTATATTTATTTATACGAGTAATTTCCTTTATTAGTAAAGATAAATTTTTAGCGTGTGCAAATGCTGCAATGGAAGATATTATATAAAATTTAGTAACAAGAAGTCGTACTTCATTCTGAACCGAGGGTTTCTTGGGATGGTTGTGTGGTCTGCTCTGAGCTCCAACCGCCTGATTTATTCAGGTACTAGAGGTGGGAAAAGTCGTTATTGTCAGGTACTATTCACTCACCCTAAATACCGTTTACTACTTAATACTCACCCTAATACTAATCAGCATTAGAATACCAGTTGTTGGTAAAGCTCGCAACTTAAACGTTACAGTCGAGGGGTCAGCAATTTCGATGAAATTTATAGAAGTGAAAAAGTTTTTTAGGTTTTTTTCACTTTTTTTTTTTGTGTAGAGTGAATATGATTGAGCCGCCAGATTTCCGATGTGTAACGCTCGGGTAAAGTCGACTGGATTGGACATATAAATGATGTCAACTAAAATAAAAGGATGAAAGAAACAGTTGAAACGTATTTAAAAAACATTAATGCAGAAAATCAATAGAAGATAATTTTCATTAGCGAAAAAAGTGAAGATTTTTTTATTTGTTGATTATTTTAGAAAATATCACAATTTAAAAATAACTTTTGTGTTGATAGAGAAAAAAATTGTTTTGTCTATTGCAAAACTATTTGCAGGACTAAAAAATGCCAAGTTCAGTTTTTAATAAAAACATGAATTATTAGCGAATTTTTTTAATCAGCCTCCATCTGTATTACAGATACTACATTTTTACGAAATCTTTCTTATTTAAATTCTTAGCCTTAAGTCCATATTAATCAAGCTGAGGTTCGTAGCAGAATAACATAAAGTTGATATTCACCTCCAGTTGTGTGAAAACATTATGTGATTTGATATTCTGTCCATAAGCTGAGGTCTAGAAGTAGGAACACAGGTATTTTACCACGTTTTATGATACTATTACTGAAATGCTGATTAAAATTCAAAAATAATTATTAGTAGGAAAATATTTTATGTTTCGTTCAGGTGATATTTAAAGCATGGAAGAATAAAACTTTAAATAAAAATCTAGTGTGCGCAACACACAACTTTCACTTACCGCTCTACTTTGAATAGAAATTATTTTCTGGCAATTTTAGACTATTATCAAAATTTTTAAGTGAATTTTAAACGGAGCTAAAGCTTAACGCTTACAGATAACAAATCATTAAGACCGTTAAAATTACAAAAAGTCTATTTATTGCATCCAAGGTAGGCAATAAAAATCTAGTTACTCAATCTGCTTTTATAAACCACAGAACTTCATTCTATTATCCTTTCAGTTGACAGAATGACTAACTCCAATTTCAACATTTTTTAGTAATGTCATTTTAGTAATATTTCTAGTTGGGATTGTTGTATCTATACAGACAGTGAGTAAGTTGGCTCCAGAGTAGATGATTGCAGTGTTGAAATATGGAAAAGTGAATAAAAATAAAGGTATAAATTTTGCCACTAGAAAAATCATTAAAATTAATAATAAAGAATGTTGAAATTGGAATTAGTGATTCTGTCAAACGAAAGGCTCATATATGCCTAAAGAGATTTAAAAATATATCTGAATATTTTACCTATAAATGATCATCTACTGTAGGACTATTAGTTATTGATAGTTATCCGCTGGATTCTATTTTAACCTATGTTGTTATTTATCAATATATATCACTTAATAATATCCAGTTTACTTTCTGTTTATATTATCGTACGTATATATTTATTATATCTATTGCTATTTTATTACATATTCTTTTTTGTTTTTTAACCTTCCAAGAGTGTAAACCATCAGCTAAAATCCAGCTGATGGTTCCTAAACTCTGCATGAATAGCTGTCCATCGCGTAGCTGGATTCAATCAATTGAAGAAATCCATCGATGGGATTTCAAGGCTTACTTTTGGAACTTGCATCCTTTTACTTTGAACAAACAAAAAAAAAAAAAATACAAATTTTAGAACCTTCCCTCTTTTTAAAGTGAATAAATAAGTACATTATTGGACTTGAAGTGACTTAAATATATTATGTAATTTTAACGACGGCATAAATGGATAATAACTGCGAAATAATCATATCATTTTTCTATGATGCCAAAATATTTCTTTTTTTTACGAATCCAATATCTTTTTATTTTTATTAGAATAGAATAGAATAGAAAATTCAACTTTATTCTGGGACCATTTCCCCTTAGAATAACAATGATGAATTTATACAGAGGAAAATACAAATCTGGCCAAAAACTAAATTATAAAAATTCTAACATTATATACATTAATTTAAAAAATAGTATGTAACCACTAAAAAATAAAATAACATAAAATCTTCTCAAGATTACTTATTATTGTGATGGAAGAAATTACATATTTATATATACATAACTACACTATTTATAAACAACAAGCTAAATAATAAAAAATTGACTTAATACAAAATCTAATATTATCTACAGTGATTTACATAATAATATGCAAACACAAAAACAAAATCTCCTCAGGAATACCTCAAGTGTAACCGAAAAAAAAAGAAGAAATATATATATATATATATATATATATATATATATATATATATATTATATATATATATATATATATATATATATATATATATATATATACATACATACACATAGTTGTAAACAGAGAGATAAAATGAGTAACACGGATAAATAAAAAATAAATAAAACAATAATATAATAAGATAACAAAAGTAATAACAGAAAGTCATCGATTTAGATGATAAAATATAAAAATTAGGCTGAATTAATGAACTAACACTATAAAATAATATGTTAACAGTTGAACAAGAGTCGTAAGCTTGATTATAGTTGAAAAGGAAAAAAATAGAAAACTAAAATAAATATACATAAAAAATATAATTGATCTGGGGGTGCGGTAAGAAAAAATACTAAATTTTAAGAAATAGTATTTTTAATTATTACGTCGACGTTTCGACCCACCTTGCAGGTCTTCATCAGAGTAGATAACAACTTTCTTCCTCACATCAGAACCTCTCTGTTCTTTCCACTCAGCACCGATATCTAATCACTTCTCTTCATCTTCGTTCAACAATTCTTCACATGATAACACATTGACCTCTTCAATTTTAAACTCCTCTTCTCTACCCTGATGAAGCGCTGCAAGGTGGGTCGAAACTTCGGCGTAATAATTAAAATATTATTTCTTAAAATTTAGTATTTTTTTTACCGTGCCCCCCATCAACTCCTTCTCATATTATATCACGGTCAACCATCTTTATATCATTAAAAAATATAATACATACATATAAACATAAATAGCCAGAAAGAAAAAAAGCAAGATCTGAAGCGAAGAGAAAAACAAATAAATAATAAAAATAATAATCATACTAGGTGGCAAAGATCATTGATGTTTTATGTTAAAAGTTAAACAGTAGGCAACACTTTTTACTTCTCACAAATTCAATTCATAAAATTAAATTTATGGTTACGAATCATCTGTCTTATTTATCACTTTTATACTTCATGTTTTCTTTAAAACTTTGTATTTCAGTTTGTGTCTATAAGAGCGCTGGGACACGGCAGAGTAGGAATGTGTGTCTAATTTAAAATTTTTAACATAAAATATAAATTATACTATACATAAATTTAAATGTCTCCCGTATATATATATGACACTTGTTACTCTGCTGTAGTTTATATTTGTATTATTATATGGTGTCTTATTCGCCTCAAGCACTGTTATAAAAATAATGGCTAGGCTAGAGTTATAAACTTTAGTTCGCTACTTTAGTTTTTATTAGTTCCTTCCTAATAATCTACCCAGAAGTTGACTAATTATATTTGATGCAAAGATAAGCTATGTCTTTATGGAACGAATAAAGTTTTCAATATGGAAATTCCTTCTCTTAACCTTCCACATCTTTCCAGTATCTAGGACATTCCTTTAAGATGTTTCCTTATATCATTGATACTAATTAAGAAAGTCCAGTTATAAGAAATGCTTAATTAGTGGGTTGTGCATTACTATGATAAAGCAAGTACTTATATACGTCTGCAAGACTTAGCCTCTAGCCAGCATTATTGAAGGAAGAATCAAATGGTTTGAGTAGAAAGTAGTCCACACGATAATAAATACGATCTGGGTTCGTAACAGTGGTGCCCATCCCACCAAGGCCGTGCATAAGCATAAGCTTTCCCCCACCCCTCTTAAGATATTTTATTCCTCTCTTCTTGTTAAAAATAGTGCAAACGAAAGTAGAATTTAAATATTCGTAGTTTTATTTTTGGCCCTTTCCTTCCTAGCCTTTAAGGCTATACGGAGTTTTCCCGGGCCAGGGAGTGAGCTCGGGGATTTCAAAGACTCACCTGGCACCGGAATATTCGTAGATTATATACAATTACACATACTGCGGTCTGTTCCATGCTTCCACTTGTCTTTTAATTTGAAACTTTTCATTTTTAAAATTCATAATCCCTGAGATGTGGCCCCTCAAAAATTGAAAACCCCGCCAAATAGTGCCCTCCTCATGAACTTTGATGGCGCAACTTGCGCCGTGAAACCCCTTTCTGGGCAACCCTGGCTCATAATACTAACGGATGTAGGTGACTAACTAATAAAGGGGTGCTTAAAGATACTGGTCAGTCTATATCTCATTATATGAAGGCGAGAAGGTCTAGGTGGTAAAATCGAAAGAATCCATCTGGAAGTCTCTACACAGAAGCGAATGTCGCGTTAATTTACATAAGATCTGATTTGGGACAATCCAAATATCTTCCAGAATAAACTTCAGAACCATCTGAACACTTTCGTTTCTAATCTTGCTTTCTCAGTATCTTCTCAGAAATTATACATTTTTTGTTTCACAATTAATAGTTTAACTTGTTAGGTCATGTATTATGTTCTTACTTGGAATCCTCATACAAGACTGAAAGAACTAGAAAACGCTCCAGCACTTCCTAGACGAACGCTATAAGTTTCCAATTAATTACAACAGACTCACATACTATAATAAGGCTTATTTCAACTTGAGCTTTAGGGCTCCACTAAACCATCGAATACCTCACATATCCAATCCATACAATCCGAAATCCTTTGGAAAATCCTCAATGCTCCTTACTTTGTCACATATAAAATTATCCACAATGATCTTAATCTTCCTTATGTTGCCAATTCACTCCAATCCAAATACCTTTTCTTCAGTTGTGAACTTCAAGTTCATCCAAACCAAATTTCTAACCTTGCACCCTCTGCAATTCCTGACAATTCTTTTAGGCATCTGAAAAGAAGATGATTTTTTGATAAAAAACTATGTTTTCCATGCTACCGTTGGCTGTTTTCTTTACTTTTCTTTCATCATATTTCTCTTTTCACATTACTTTAATACAGTAGTGAATTTCATGAATAAAATAATTTATAACATGTGCTCTGGCTGAATAAGACGCCACAGCTGTTAGCATGTGATGTACTAAATGTTACATATATTTAGCCTGAGTTTCTAGTTTTGGCTCCTGCAATTACTATGCCAATGTGATAGGTGTGTTGATGTGTTGTAACGTTGCGTGTGGCAGGTCGTTTCGCTCCACCGAGCGGTTGGAAGGAGTTGCTCTGCGTGGATAAGCAAAGGTCCGCAAGACGATCACAAGGTAAACCTTGCGCACTGCTTGCGCATAGCTTGCGCACTCAGGGCACCGCTCCAAGCTGCCGCTATTGTCGTCGAACCCTCGGCAAAAATCCCATCATCTCCGTCCCATTCTCTGTGCCATCTCCTCTCGGAGCGTTTATTAAAAATTCCACCTCATTCGTTGAAAGAACCCCGATGACCTATTCAGGAACCCGGTTTCCATTTAGATATAAAAGAACTATATATCCATAATAAACAATTCTGTTTTTTTTTTATTTTATATTTTCTTTGTCTCTACTCAATTGAGGTGAAATATATTTCTTAACAACAATGGATTTAAAGAGCATCTGGTACCTGAGATAAAAAGATCGCCATTCTTTAATAAATACAATGGTCCTCAGTAAAAGAATATTGGAATTAAATCTAAAAAGTAATTAACTTATTCTCATTAGAAATATAAAATAACGAAAACTTCATTTCACGTATTTACAAAACTTTATATAGATACATTTTTAATTAAGTATAATTATTAAACTATTATTTAAAATATATATATTTTAAGTGTAAGGTGAAAATTCTTTTTAAATATTAATTTTTTTAAATTTTTATTTATTTAATTTATTTAATTTTCACCAGATATTTTATTCAACGCTATCTCGTTTAGAATACTTATTTTTCGACAATTATGCCATCTTCAGGCACAACAAAAAATATTCATGCAATGGAGTGTTCAATTTTATTTGATATTTTTACATAGCTGAATATTATTATTATATAAACTTTATGAGATCACACTAAATTAATTATTATAATAGTTAGACAATCGACTAACAACTAGAATCTACAGTCAGTGGGTCACTTATTTTAATCAAATTTTTTTTTCGGTCGAAATTTTTGTCGACAACCATAAAAAGTTTGATAACTTCAGACGAATATTAAGACCAAAGATATAAAATAAAAATTATCGATAATTTTTTTTAAAATTCTATATTTAAAAAAAGGAATGGAATTTGGACGCTATTGATGTGAATTGGGAAGGTAGTAATTCACCTTTCCAAAATTGTATTAACGTTGAATTTGGAAAAATTATGAATGCTTTAGCTATCGGCAAGAAAAAAATAAATTAAAAAGAAAATTGTGTATTAAATTTTGCAATTTTAATATCTACAAAATGCGTAAGAGTTTATTTATTTATTTATAAATGTTTTGGGCTCTTCAACCGCCTGGGTCGTTTTCGCCGTATATTACAATTGGATCAACTACTACATAGCCATACATAACAAAACTGCAGCTAACAAATACAATTTAATGTATAGAAAGTCAAAAATAGTTACAGTTGAATATGATGGTACAATTGAAAATCTTGGATGTCCTAACGATCAATTTTGAGAAAATCCTTAAAGATATAAATGCTCAAGTTATCGTCCGGAAAAAATAATCAAGCATTTAATTTTGCAATTTTGGATTTCTATGAAAAATCATATTTGGCAGTTTCAAAGAACACTCGAAACAAATCTAACTTACTTTTTTATAACAAAAATTAACTTGGTCTAATTTACTGGAAGCGCATTTTACTCTTTGTAATGTATAATATATTATTACTCATTTAATACAATAGCCAATATTTTTTATTATTGTGCACAAAAAAAGATGTCGATAAATATGTCTTTGGCACCATGTCAAAGTAATGAACGTGAACCTTTTTAACCTAACACATTCGTTACTGTAATATGGCGAAAACGATGTAATAACCTAAGAATCAGAGTAGTTTTTTTAATCTTTTTATTTAAGTATTATATATTTTACCACACTTAAAGGTACTGAATATTAGAGCTGTAAGGTACATTCATACCATATTTACAATATAATAAAATAAAGTTTAAAAAAATTAGATACTAAAAGATATATGTATTAAAGATAATGTATATGGAACAAGGGTAAAAACTGGAATAAACACAAAGAAATATAACTAAAAACGAAATAATACAGCCAATTCTTAAGGAAAAAAAATAATAAAAAATTAGATAAATAAATATTAATGATAGTAAATTATTAGAAATGAATAAGGAGAAAAAAAAATGAAAACAAAACTTGAAGTCATACTTAATTTACAATATTTACAATCGGCCAAGGGAGCTTCGAGTCCTGCCCTTTCCCCCACGTGTAGAGGACAAGGAAAAGCTCTAAGAGATCCCAGAGCTTCTTTCACAGCCGCATCACCGGCATTAGAGTCCAGTAGAGACTAAGAGAGAGTCCTACTCCGGTTAAATTAAAAGCAAAAATAAATAGCATAAATTTTGTTTGAAATTATCTACATTTTTTTTTAGTCGGCTCATAGGGCCAATTGGAACGAATGTCGGATGGTTACTGTGTCTGACACGGATGGGACACATGTCTGATGTAGTATCGCCGAAAAAAAAAAATGGTTGAAATCAGTGACCCACTCACAGTAGACTTCCCTTCGAAATGCTTGCTCTTGATATTTTCTAAATATTTATAAAGAGATTCTAAAAGTGATTAATTCTAATATCCTGTTACAGGAAATTCTTTATGTATTGATAGATAAATAAGTTATATTTTAGTTCATTCGACATTTGGTACATTATAGTATATTTATTTATTAATACTGTTGATTCGGAAATAATAAATTTATCTGGGAATTCGTTTCAAGTCCATCTTACAACGTCGTCAGCTGTTGCTCGCCTTAAGATATCTGATAGTGTACGCAACAAGTTAAGGCTCTGCGATAGTTTCTTTATGCAAATACGTTGTCAAAGTTAAAATATCTTGCATTTTTTAAGATACTGAAATTATTTTCTAGGTATTTTAAAAATAAATTGTATTTGTTGTAATTTTATTATTTAAAAAAAAGACATTTAAACGATTTGAGGTTTCTTAGTCTTCAAAGAATGCTCGATAATAATATTTTCTTATTTGTTACGTAATTTGTTTCTTAATCACGTGCCAACGCACCAATGGTGCAGGTCGTGGGTTCGAGTACAGCTTTGCGTGATTAATATTTCTGTTACATCAACTGTGGATCGAGTTTGGTATCGGTAGACTTTCTTAGGGCACACCCAGCCGCTATAAAGTGATTAATTCTAATTATATTAGATGCAAGATAAACCTGGCGGTTGACCGTGATTATAACCAAATCACCTTACAAAACTCAATCAAGAGATAGTACTTCCTTACAAATTACTGAACCCAAGATCCTGCATGATGGGTTTTAAGTTTAAATAAAAAAAATTTAAATATTACAAAAATATAATATTTTAGACCTCAATTTATGTCGGAAGTTGTGAGGGGTATCATCTGTATTTTTTTTTCTCTGAAAAAAATTGAGTTAGTAATATTATTCAGCATGTGTATTTTTGGTCTAAAAAATAAAAATACTTAATGGAGGAGATGTAAACTTCAATGTTGAAAACTATTTCGAAAAATGAATCTCCATTGTTAAACTTTTTAAAATAAAATAACGCTAAATTTTAAGCATTTGATAGTTTTTAGTGTTGCCGTAAAATACTTTTTATCTTGTTGTTTTGAAATGTGAATGAACAATCAAAAATGTTTTTATACTTTTAATGATAACAGAAAAAAATAAAATAAAAGTAGAAAAATAAATACATACAAAACCATTTAATAGACAATATGAATAAAAGTCATAGAGAAAATATAATTTGGGTAACACTATATAGCTAATTATTGATGGCACGACTATCTAAAATATATAGTTGTTCACTAAACAGAATAATTTTCGCTGAAAACGTCTAATCAATTTTGAATTTTACTACATTGTGGACATGAACCACTACAACTTTTTATAACTACTGAAATCACCCTTTTGATATAAAATTAAAAAAATAAATATGCATAAATTAAATTATCTAACCATTATTATTAAGGTTTAACTTTTACGAGTCTCAGCTCCAGATGCTTTTTATCTATCATTCCTTTTTAATTCTTTGTAAGTTTAATATCTTATGAATATAATTGATATTAACAGAATATTTACTAAAGTAAAATTATCAAGGTAGTAATATTTCACATTTTTTTTTTTTTTTAATTCGCGACAAGTTACTAAACTCTGCGCTTAGCTCTTCGATGTCATAATTTAAGGAAGTTTTAGAATGTCATTGATCAATGCTGAGTTTAGGAACTTGCCAATAGCTATAATTAATCTGATTAAAGTTTTTAATAACCGATGCCAATGAGGTTTTCCCGACAGCCGTGTCAAACTTCTGAAATAGCGTCCAGACTGGAGCGGTCCCTGGTGCCTAGTTTTAGTGAATATTTTTTTAAATTTTTATTATTGGTGGAAGCAGGGCAGATGTTATGCGAGATACACCGCTTCAAGATCCCCATACTTTGTATCACCAGCAACACTACACCAGCACACCCCATCTCGCTCCAACACTGCATCATTACTTAGCTTCCACTTTCGGGAGCATGGCATGAAGTTCTTGTCCTATCTTACTCTATTGTACTCTACACTCTATCTTCTCACTACTTCAAACTCTTGTGCATTATTCACTCTCTTATGGACACTGACTGGCACCGGTGCAAGATGTATGTTTAATCACTATAGCACTTTGGATAAAGGATGTTTAATTTAGAAAAATATAGTGGATTCTTTGGTGTTATATTACTATAATAATTATATACAGTATTAAGTTTTAGGAATCATGAAGTATTATCTATTGATAATTCTCAATAATAATTTTATTGTTTGATGTGACAGTTATATATAAATGTGTTTATCAATTAATGTATGTTTTTACATTTTAACAGTTCTGTAATGAAATAGATGCAGGGTCTCTCATTTTTTATGGTTACTATCTTAAATATTGTCATCATATATACTAAGGTTTGTTCCATTCCAACCTTTTTTTTTTAATTCGTTCGTAAATAATTTTCAGGTTTTCAATTTTTTTAGATGTGTACATGTGGTAGTAACGAATTATCATAATCGAAAGTTTACATCGGCCAAATTCACATTGGCTACTTTAAAGTTATATTTACTAGCAAACCACAAAATTAAGTGGTTCTAAATACTTTTAAAGTCGTGTTATTTAGTTGATTGGGAATAACATGGATGTTTTGTGCTTAGGCATCGGGAAAAACAAACTAACAAACTAAATTGAGAATACTGCATAATGTTATTAAAAGTTTAAAATTATTTGAATGTAATATATCTAT